TCTTCTTCTTGATATGCATCCGAAGAAGTGGGCTGTAGTCCACGAAAGCTTATGCTCTAATAAATTTGTTAGTCTCTAAGGTGCCACAAGTACTCCTGTTCTTCTACTTGAGAAAATGTATCTAAGGAGGGTCTCTTCTAAGTCTTTACTGTCTGAGTTCCTTTATTTATAAAACAGGGAAAAGTCTAGCTTGGTGAATAGCTGAAGGTTTGCCAAAGCATACAGAACACACCACAGCTTTCTGGTTAGAATAAAGCATTTTGTGGGGGAGTTTTTCTGTAAATGGACTCTGAATCTTAATTTATTCTGGTCATTCTCTGACGTGTGGCAACACGCTAAAGCACACTATGTTTATATAACATGCTGCAAGTATCAGACCTCTTGAGGTGAAGGCAAAATTATTAGAGAAAATGCTGAAGGAACAGTGTTATATTTATAGTATTTTAATTTCCTCCTCACTACTACACTTAATGAAAACACAGGGTCAGTTGGTACAAATCATTATCGTTCCCTTAACTTCAATGGCTGAGGATCGGTCCCACAATTCTGATTTTTGTTACATTTAAGAGTTTTACACTTCATAATTATTGACAGAAATGTGTTACCAATAGAAATGATGAAAAATATAATAGCTTAATGAGCACTAGAAATGACTAATTAATTCTACTACTATGCACTAGCATGCTGTTACATGCATGTTCTATTTTTAAATGGCACATACTGGGAGATAATGTGGTCCAGTGGTTGGACCCTGGATTAGGAATTTAGATACATTTATGGAGGATAGGTCCCTGCTTCCACCTGCTAATCCAAGATGGTCAGGGATGCAACCCCATGCTCTGGCCTCTGATTGCCAGAAGCTGGGACTGGGCAACAGAGGATGGATCATTCCCTGATTGCCTGTTCTATTCATTCCCTCTGAAGCACCTGGCATTGACCACTGTTGGAAGATAGGATATGGGGTTAGATGGGCCATTGGTCAGATCCATTATGACCATTCTTATCTGCCTATGTCATTGATTTGCTGGGTGGTCTTGGGAAAGGCCCATACATACCTCAGTTCCCCTCTATGTAAAAGGGTCATAATGATATTTGGTCTCATCTGTACAGTATTTTGAGTTTCTCAGTTATAAAGCACTCTACTAATTAGGACTGAAATATTTTGGGCTTTACAATTGTCACAGTGAGTTACATTTTAGTCATTTTAATGCAAGGGTTCTCAAACTTTTCAGTGTGCGCCATATTTTACCGGGGTGTATTGCACGCACACATACACACCCTTCCCATTTGTAATTGGATAACATTCCAGATGCAAGGATAACAATTGCATGCATGAAAAAGTAATACTAGAAAGGTATTTCCTGTGTATTTAGCATTGTTATCACATGGATTAGCAAGTGCAAACAAGAAGAGTCAGCATCCTGTAACCACAGACTGCAGTTTGAGAGCAGCCATTTGAATGAATTACAGATAACTATCAGCATAGGTGGCAAATTCATTAAAAAGTGAGGCTTTCACTTACCATGGATAACACTTCATCTGTTTTTTTAAATGAAGGCCAGATTATCAAAGGCTCTGAGCAGCACAGCAACTCCCACTAAATTACTGATTAATGACAGTAACTTGTCCCTTGAGATTAGGAGCTAAAAGAAGATTGAAGGTCAAGCAAGTTCCACAATGGCACTTTCAGAGAAGCTTCTCCAATCATCAGGCCTTTAACGTTTATATTTATACTCTTTGGAATCACCTTTATTTCCCCTCAACCTATAGTAAATCCTTTCTGCTGGTGGATATTATAGTTTGCAAAAAGAACATATAGGTGCGCTCCCAGAGTCCAGCATTGCAACAGCTTCTAATGCCATTGCGCAACTTATTCGATTTGCTCTTTAGTCCACTCTCCTGATATTTCATGTTTCATTGCTTAATCTGAACTTCAGAGTTTTAGTCTCGTCCTTTTGTTGACTTTGAAACAACAGGGTTGACATTCAGTTAATTGCACAAGTGTTTTGTATGATTAGGATCTTTTGGCAGAACTCTTCAGAGCTGTTAGGGAATGAATAAAACTGAATCCAGTGCTCTTTGTGGAGCCCTTATCCACTTCTGATTTGGGACTGGACAAAATCTTACAAGACTTGCTATGTTCCTGATATTGGCCCCAAATAGCAAAAATCTCACAAAAAGCATTTCTCATGGCATTTCAGTCCATTTAAATGAGTTTCTCTCCATGAGACAACAGGAGCAGCAATAGGGCAGGGAGCCAGCTAGCTTCCCTTTGGGGTGGGTGGAGGGGACAACCAACACAGGGAAAGAGAGAAGGGAACACAAGAAAGAAGAAGAAAAGGTTCCCTAACCTGAGATGTTTTAGGCCTTTATTTCAGCATCTATGGTAATGCAACTCCTTCCCCACAATATTACCAGGCACTTTTCTAAGCCTGTGGTTCTAGCATTTAGCTACAAATCCCTCCATCAGTGTGTGCCTTTCTGAGCCTTTTGCTCCAGCATTGAGAGAGAATCATAGAATCATAGAATATCAGAGTTGGAAGGGACCTCAGGAGGTCATCTAGTCCAACCCCCTGCTCAAAGCAGGACCAATTCCCAACTAAATCATCCCAACCAGGCCTTTGTCAAGCCGGGCCTTAAAAACCTCCAAGGAAGGAGATTCCACCACCTCCCTAGGTAACACATTCCAGTGCTTCACCACCCTCCTAGTGAAATAGTATTTCCTAATATCCAACCTAGACCTCCCCCACTGCAACTTGAGACCATTACTCCTTGTTCTGTCATCTGCCACCACTGAGAACAGCCGAGCTCCATCCTCTTTGGAACCTTCAGGTAGTTGAAAGCAGCTATCAGATCCCCCCTCATTCTTCTCTTCTGGAGACTAAGCAATCCCAGTTCCCTCAGCCTCTCCTCATAAGTCATGTGCTCTAGACCCCTAATCATTTTTGTTGCCCTCCGCTGGGCTCTTTCCAATATTTCCACATCCTTCTAGTAGTGTGGGGCCCAAAACTGGACACAGTACTCCAGATGAGGCCTCACCAATGTCCAATAAAGGGGAATGATCACGTTCCTCGATCTGCTGGCAATGCCCCTATTTATACAGCCCAAAATGCCGTTAGTCTTCTTGGCAACAAGAGCACACTGTTGACTCATATCCAGCTTCTCGTCCACTGTGACCCCTAGGTCCTTTTCTGCAGAACTGCTACCTAGCCATTCGGTCCCTAGTCTGTAGCAGTGCAGAAGAATTCCAGCATTCTGAGAAAAACTACTGTTCCTGTCTTGTCCTTGGTGTTTTTGTTTTGTTTTGTTTGTTTTATAGCCAGCATCCAGCATTATTATTATTTTTTATTTGTATAATTGTAGCAAGTAGGAGCTCTAGTGTCAAGTGCTTGAGAAATTCAGCTATATTAAATACAATGAGCAGGGAGACTTGAGAATGAAGTGTTGACTTCCTGAGTCACAGACACTGATCTCTCTCATGTTGATTCTTTGAAATCTTTTCCTTTATTTAATTTAACAGGAAGCCAGACACTTGGAAGCATGGCTGGGAAACCCAAACTGTACTATTTCAATGGAAGAGGCCGAATGGAAACAATACGGTGGCTGTTGGCAGCAGCTGGAATCGAGGTTCGTTTCTGTTTTATAAAGAAACTAAGTTGGCAATGCATAATTTGGTGGAAATGACTGTTCCATATTGCAAATGTGACCAACTGGAAGTCATTAGTTCAGAACTCACTGCACATAGAATCATAGGAGTGGAAGGGACCTCAAGAGGTCATCTAGTCCAGTCTCCTGCACTCAGGGCAGGACTAAGTATTATCTAGGCCATCCCTGACAAGTGTTTGTTTAACCTGCTCTTAAAAATCTCCAATGATGGAGATTCCACAACCTCCCTAGGCAATTTATTCTAGTGCTGAAACAACCTTACAGTTAGGAAGTTTTTCCGAATGTGCAACCTAAACCTCCCTTGCTGCAATTTAAGCCCATTGCTTCTTGTCCTATCCTCAGAGGTTAAGAAGAACAATTTTTCTCCCTCCTCCTTGTAACAACCTTTTATGTACTTGAAAACTGTTATTCTGTCCCCTCTCAGTCTTCTGTTTTCCAGACTAAACAAACCCACTTTTTTCAATCTTCCCTCATAGGTCATATTTTCTAGACCTTTAATCATTTTTGTTGCGCTTCTCTGGACTTTCTCCAATTTGTCCACATCTTTCCTGAAATGCAGTGCCCAGAACTGTACGTATACAAGTGACTATACAGTCAACATGTAAACTTATAACTAGGTGTGTGATCACTTCTCCCTTTAGTGGCTTTCCCTGGTGACAATGGGCATACTTACAGTTAACGGAGCTGCTCCATTAGGTCAAATAGTAGGGCCCAGGTTCTATACTGATTGACGACCACTGTAGTCAGTGTTCTATATGTTCCCCCCTCTGTTCCCAGGGCACAGAGAATATGGTCTTTCACAGCTTCACCTGTGAGCCTGGCTCTTTACCTCAAGCCATAAAGATGCGTGTTTCCAACTTTGAAAGTCCGCATTTCAGTGCCTGATAGTGGCTAAAATGGAGACCATATGCCTATCATTGTGGGGCTGGGGCCTCTATGCCCTACACAATACTAATATTAGTGAGTATCTTGTGAAACTAATTGCTTTCAACATTAACTCTGGAAGCCATGCCAGAGGGGTATATGGCTGCTCTGACCTGCCTGTTGGCAGTCAGCCAGGAAGCCTCTGGGGATTCTTGCCGCTGCACAACCCTTTCTCTTCCCTTGCCACCCATGTGTTATAGCAAAAAAATCATAGAATAGTCCAACAGCTACTGTGTGTGCTTTCCCTCCTCCCCCATGCTTGGCTCTGCTTTCAGCTCACCTCAGGGAACTAGACACCCCAGTCGTTGCCAGTCATGAGTGCAAGAACATTGTGGCTGCCTCTTGCACAGAAGAAAGTTTGTTTTGCTCTCTGGTCACCTTACACACCTTGGCAGAGCTAGCCACAATCTAACAAAGGCTCCTACACAAAAGGCATTTTAATTAAGCATAATGGGGTAAAGGGAGAACGTGACAGAGGCAGGATTTTATCTAAATACAGAATATTTTAAAGTCTTCAACTGCTTTTTATGTGAAAAATTCTAAAAGCAAATAATTGTTAATCATTATTTTCTCAAGTGATTCCTAACCTAACCCATGCAGTAACAATGAGACCCTTTTTACTTCTTTTACCCATTTGTTTTCCAGTTTGAAGAACAATTCTTTGAAACAAGGGAAGAGCTTTTAAAGTTACTGCAGGGTGAGCTTTTTAATTAGTTTTTTATTAGAACTGTTTGTGGATCCTAATGTGGAATTCTTGAAAATGTAATTGTCTTTTTAAAAGAAAATCTGGACTGGTTCATGAACATGATGAATCATAATTGCACATTGCAGTAAGACCATTTTGTTTCACTCAAATATTGGAGGCCAACCTCCACTCTGTTATACCAGTTTTATAACTGTAACATATGTTACTCTATAGCTTGCTTGGTATAGTGTTTTGAGATGGTCAGATTAGAAATGTTGTATAAAAAGTTATTATTTTGGAAAGTTCATATGGAGCATGATAAAAGTTTTCTTAGGGGCCAAATCCTTCAGTGTTCCCCTATTGACCTCAGTGGGAACTTTACCCGAGTAAACAATGCACGGTTTGTCCCTTTCTTGAATCACCATTAAAGGTTTTATTTTGGAGACTTTATTGGATTTGCAGCAATTCTAAGAAGTTTATTGTTATAATTCAAGCTATTAGTATGTTTACCCTTTCCCACAAGAAATAGCATTCACATTTTACTGGAAACTTCTTTCACTTCACAGTATAAGATAAAAGACCCTCAAATTAAAAAGAAAATAGCAAGTTAGAGGTTTTCTCGACTCCACTGCAATGATAATAGTTTGGGGAAAAAGACTATAATTTATTTGAGTCATACTTCTCACCTTTCTTTTAAAAGATGGAGCCCTGCTGTTTCAACAAGTGCCCATGGTAGAAATTGATGGAATGAAGATGGTGCAGACCAGAGCCATTCTCAACTACATAGCAGGGAAACACAACCTCTATGGGAAGGACATGAAGGAGAGAGCACTGTACTGTAACAGCACTACCTTTTTCTGATAGCAATAAAAAATAATTATTTTATGTGCAGTAAAAGGGGGAAAAAATCCTGATTATTGCTAAATTATATGATGAGCCAGCACATTTCTGTTTACCTCCAACCAAGGTCAACAATACTAAGGTCTGGAACAATGTTAAATAACTAGATTAGATTAGAGATATGCAAAAAAAGTACATGTGAGTTCATCTTGATTATCTCATCAGAGGTTATTGCAGTTTTCAAAACTCAGCCAGGCAGATAACAAATGTACTGTAGCTGCAGAGGTCAGTATTTCTCCTAATATCACTCTCCATTTCCAGGAAGACTGCTGGTTTACACAACCCCATTACTTGTCTCCCACAGGTGCAAGCAACAAACAGTTCTTGCAAGCTAAGAGCCAAGGGAATCCCTGCCCTTTGTCCCCATGAACTGCATATTTAGGGGAAGGATGCTTGTGCAGACAGAGAACTCTCCTTATGTGTCCCCAAATTCCTCAGATTAATTAGCAAGTGCAAATAAATTGTATTATTGTATGATAGATACAAATATCACTTATAGCTAAAGTGATGTCCCAACTTAATTCTTAATGGGAAACATTGTGTGTCACTAATATTAGGTCTTGCCCTCTGACTGATTTCACTTAGGTGCCTAATAGAGATTTGGGTGATTTAGATAGCTATGCTTAACTTTTAGAAGCTAAGTATGAAAATATTTGCCCATCTTTAGTACAGATGATTCCAACCATCTCTGAAAAAGGAGGTGATGTCATATATCTATTGGGGGGGTTTGTTGTTGTTGTTGTTTTTTGTTTTGATTTTTAAACAGCAAATACAAATTAGTCAGTGGTAAATCTTCTGGTATTTAGCCTCCCGACCCTGGAGTTATTTCACTGCAGGAATCTACATGAATACTAGTTGTTCAAACCAATGTGAACACACTTTGCCTTTCAGGATTGATATGTATGTGGAAGCAACAATGGATCTGAATGAACTCATGATGCATTATCCTATCCAGCCACCGGAGGCAAAGGCAAAGCATCTTGCCAAAATCGTTGAGAAGGCCACAACCAGATACTTCCCTGTATATGAAAAGGTATGTAGCAGTAAGGCAACAATTTACAACCTGGAGTATTGGTCACTTGATAATATATCCTGGATCCAGGGCCGGCTCTAGGCACCAGCAAAACAAGCTGGTGCTTGGGGTGGCGCATTTTTAGGGGCGGCATGGCCGGCGCCAGAATGCCGCCCCTAAAAATGTGCCCCGGCCGCCCTAGCTCACCTCCACTGCTGCTGCCACGGCGCGTGAAACAGCTGATTTGCGCGCCGCTACTCGCCCTCCCTCCCAGGCTCTCAAGCCTGGAAGGGAGGGGGAGCAGCGGCGCGCGAATCAGCTGTTTCGCGCGCCGCGGCAGCTTGCGGGCTCCCCCTCCCTTCCAGGCTTGAGAGCCTGGGAGGGAGGGCGGGTAGCGGCGCGCAAATCAGCTGTTTCAGGCGCCGTGGCAGCAGCAGTGGAGGTGAGCTAGGGCGGCCGGGGCACATTTTTAGGGGCGGCATTCTGGCGCCGGCCATGCCGCCCCTAAAAATGT